GGGAGAGGGAGAGAGAGAGAGGGAGGGAGTGGAGGAGAAGACGGTAGAGAGGAGAGAGAGAGAGGAGTAGCAGCAGGGAGAGGAAGGAGAGAGAGGGAGGAGAGGAGAAGGAGGAGAGAGGATGACGAGAGACGAGGATGACGAGAAGAGGACGAAAGAGAGAGAGAGGAGAGAGAGGAGAGGGAGAGAGAGGAGAGAACGAGAGAGAGGAGACGAGAGAGGAGAGGAAGAGAGAGAAGGATGGGAGAGAAGAGAGGAGAGAGAGAGAGAGAGAGAGAGCCGAGAGAGAGAGAGAGGGGAGGAGACACGATGACGAGAGAGAGAGAGAGAGAGAGAGAGGAGAGAGAGAGGAGAGAGAGAGAGAGAGAGAGAGAGAGAGGGGAGAGAGAGAGAGAGAGAGAGAGGAGAGAGAGAGAGAGAGAGAGAGAGAGAGAGAGAGAGAGAGAGAGAGAGAGAGAGAGAGAGAGAGAGGAGAAAGAGAAAGAGAAAGAGAGAGAGGAGAGAGAGAGAAGAGAAGAGAGAGAGAGAGAGAGAGAGATGAGAGAGAGAGAGAGAGAGAGAGGAGAGAGAGAGAGAGAGAGAGAGAGAGGAGGAGAAGAGAGAGAGAGAGAGGAGGGGACAGATTATTATTGAAAACTGCTTGTGAGATAATTTGAGGGCAAACTTAGATTGAGAGCCTTAGGTAATGCATCAAAGCATTACCAAAGTGGGGGCAATTTTGGGGCAGTTTTTGTCAAAACTGCTTATCAGATTAAGGGGGCCATCGCAACCAAAATTTTCAAAAATACTCAATTTTTTTTTTTTTAATCTCCTGTAATCTAGTGGGCTTTGGCAATTTTGTGACATAATATTTTTGCTAAATATGTAAAATTAAAGGAGTTATGACTAAATCTCTGACCCCCCGCTCCGATGTTTACATTGTCGCGTCCGTGAAAATTTACTCGACAAATTTTTTTTTTCGTATTTTTTCAGTTTATTTTGGAATTCTCTGGTAACTAGCTGGCAACTCTATTTACCCATCAGCTGATCGCAAAGACTGTGGCTCTGGGAGACAAAACTCCACCAGAAAATCAGAGAGAAAGGTTCCCAGCTCCTAGTTCCATGACACCATACCGCAGACGTACTGCCTCATCAACACAGTAAGGGTACACTATTAATTGTAGATGCTAGTTTAGTATATAATAGACGTACTATGATAGGAAATACTTCTAAATCACAGCTGCAGCAGTTGTTTATACATTTAAATACCTCACGTTGTCAGGTTAGGCCTTACAAACCATGTGCTCCAACAGGAATTTCTACAATCATTTGCACTTATTACCATTAGTAATTTGCAAAAGGGGGGGACCATGTACCAGCTACACTTCAGAATACCATGTGAACGCAATAGAATGCAGCAAGATTGCCGCAGAGATTAGAATAATAATAATATAAAAAAAATAAATTTAAAAAAATCGAGGCAAATCTGAAATTTCGGAGAACATTATCTCAAAACTACACTTTTGTCAACATTTGTCAGCATTTTTGAAATTCATCCATAAATAATTGGTCGATTCTAATGGGGTTTGGATCATTTAAAAGCTGAATATATTTGCGATGATTTTCTTAAAGAAAATTTTCTTTTTAGTTAATAGTAGTCCATATATTATATCGTGATGTTCATAAGACTAGACATTTAGAAAAAAATAAATTCCCACTAAACTAAAACGAAATTTAAAACTCCGGTTTTTGCAAATTTTGGGTATTGCTATAGAGTATAGGTGGTAATTTTTTCAACAAATTTGTTCAATGGATAAATGCCATTTTTAAGAGGCTGTGAATGTTCAAAAACTTGTTTTTTGTTAATAACTTTATTATCTATTAGCAAAATTATAAGAAACTTGGTGGTGTTTATCACTTTATATTTATGTATAACATATTAAAAAATCACGAATATCCGATCATAACTGATGAACTTTGTTCTCGGGCGCGACGCCCCCCTTAAGTCAATTGGTTCCCTTTAGAATAAGAGAAGTTCAAAAAAAGAAAATTTAACATTATTTCTCTGGCTCTGGCCATCACCTTGAAATCTCAAATGCTGTGCTACCTACCATTTCTAATTTCATATGTCTTCACGGTGATGGTGGTCTCTGGAGTTTTCTTGCATTCATAGTCAGTCAGCATGTACTCCACCCATGCCTTGGTGATTTGTGAACTGGATGATGGCGCTTTCATGATAATTAGTGGAAGTTTCTTTCAATAAAACATCTGAAAAAATCACAGACTACTTTCAGTAAAATATATATTTCAAAAGATGAAACTTCCAATTAAATAATAATACTAAAAAGAAGAAGAAGAAGAAGAAGAAGAAGAAGAAGAAGAAGCAAGTTTGAAGTTTTCCTCTCAGTTTATCAGTTGATCGTAAATCTAAAACTAAGCTTGACCTTAGTATATATGTAAAGCATGCCTCTACTGCAACCTTATATTAATTTGCATTCCCGACCATGTATATTCTAAAAAGACAGACCTTGTACACTTCCTTGGCAATTTTGAATTAAATATGTAACTACTTCAACCCTTAAAAAAGTATTATAAACTATATAGGTATTGTGCGCTTGCAATCAATATGCTGAAAATTCTAGTTTGCTAACTATGTTTGCTGTGCACATGAGGTGATTTAGCCAAAGTACATTGTGCATTTAAGCACTAAAGATGTGCATGCACTTACAATTTGGCAAGTGATCAGTATGCACTGCAAAGATATACAAATATATAAATATATACATGTGATATGTTGAATGATGAAGAACAACCTCCAAAAAAAATTATCTTCAACTCAGTGGTATTTTGTACTAGGACCATAAATACTATTTTTAAAAATATTAGCCATTTTTCTTGACTTTGCATCCTCTCTTTTACTGGTTGAATAAAGTACCATCAATCATACACTGATGAGAACACAAAAGGCCGTAAGTCTGAAAGGTATCTGTGTGCATAATTTATTCTCAAGTATTTTTGGTCATTCATATTTCCTTGTATCAAGTCTAAAGGATAAGGCATGCTACCTAGATGGCCTAAAAAAACTCATGATCCTATCTCATAACAGTTTGCGTTATTGATGGTTAGAACCAGAAGCTTTGAAAAAATTGGTACCAGTATGAAAAAAACATGCATTAAATTTGAAGAAAACTAAAAACATACAGAATCTGAACAAAACAAAAATTGAATATAAGCAAACATAATAAATACCTAAGTCACAACTTATATGCATGACAGAATGGCAATCAACAATCAAAACTTTTTTTAACTCCCTGCAGCCATCTCTTTCAAACAAATGTAATCAACTGTATATCAGGAATTTAGCACATGCAGGCACCTGGAGAGCTCAATTTTTTAAAAAGAAAATATGCACATGAAATCAAGAATATGAACAGGGGTACGAAGACTGTGCAAAGGGATATTTCATTTGCAAACTGCAAAGTTAAAAACTGGTGAACACTGGTGAAATTCTCGTATTTTCATGGTTATGTCAGATTAGAATAAGCTAGGCCTTCTATTGTTGTCAGTCAGTACAGGAGGCATAGGTTGTCTATTTGGAAAAGAATTACCTAAAAATGAAAAATAAAACCAAAATAACTCCCATACAGAATTAAAAAAAAAAAAAAAAAAAAAAAAATTACAGTATACCTTTAAAAAACAGATTGCAATGATTTTGGTGTCAGCTGGTTCCTCTTACTCTCTACTATCCAAATATATCAAAATTATGCTGCAGAAACCCCCCTCTTAGCTACAATCTTGGCCCCAATATCAGGGACAGCCATGAATAGTACCAGGGAAAGTACAGGGTAAGACATGACTAACATATACAGAATCTGTCACTATATTACCTTATGATGGTGGCTGGGCCCCCTGAAATCCCCCATGCAGGAAAACAAATGATTCTCCAAGTATTCAAAGAAGGATAAAGCATACAACCGTAAAGTGGAAGCACCCAATGTCAAGTTTGTCCAGCACTTTCTCCTGCTGTGTATACATGGAGGATTCTTTGTTTTTCTGGGCAGTGGTCAGGGGTCCCCGTTGTAAAATATGTTGTTTTTTGTGGACATGTCATAGTGAGCAACAACATTGTTTCGGCTGTGACCTATGAGAAGAGTGATAGCTATTCACTTTTAATAATGATGTTCTGAAGTGACAATGATTGAGTGATTGTTATTCATGTTTACTTTTAAATATGAATGGACTCTGTTTTGTTGTCTTCTGTTTATTATGGAATTCAAATATCTGTGAGACACAAAACTCGGTGCGAGCAAAAATGATCACAGGTACGACTAAAGACTGGCATCACTACAAGTATTTGCAGGTTTTCCAATCGGTAATTCTTTATAGTACAGATGCACTCACCAAGGAGAAAGTCCCCAACTCCACCCAACAATCTTTGGGGACATGTGAGGAACTGTTTTTTTTTTTTTTTTTTTTTTTTTGGGGGATAAAAAGTGGGCTCAGCTTGATTTCAATGTCAGTAAATGATCAAGGTCAATTATGAATGCAATGAAAAGCAACTTTTCAGAAATGCCTGCCAAACTTCTTATTTACAAAGGTCTACGAAATGTGACTTTTCTGAAATGCGAGCCAAAATTTACATTTTTAAAATCGAAGAAAAACAACTTTTCCGAAATCCGAGTGTCTGATTATACCACTATATTTGAATATAAGAAAGTGCAAGTGCACACGGTAACCAACACAAAATTTAATCAACAGTTCAAGTTGCTGTGGCTGGGCATGCCCTTCATGCACTGATGATTAATGGGCTTTGCCCTCAAACACCCCCAGGAAACATTCTCTTCAAGTATGCAGCAAAATGAAACAGGAAATTGCACTGTTCATTCAGGATGATTCCGTGAATCTGTAAAAAAAAACTTTAGGATCTCCTTGTTTTTCTAAAAAAGGCACGCACACCACCTAACATAAATGACATGTTGGTCATTGTCAACGAGAAGAATGAAGCAGCTCACCGGTGTAGTCCAGAAATCTGCGTGTTATTTCCATACTCGAACTGTGTTAAGTATTGACTGTATTGTTTGAGGATGGTAATTCAGAATATTAATCAGTTAGCCAAAATTGAGGATCAAAATACACATTTTTACATAAAAATAGCTGAGATGTGAATATATATGAAAAGTTGGTTGATAGTTGTGTGCATTTTTATGATATAGTATTTGGAATATTATACTTGAACTTTAATGAGCAATTAAATTTCTCAACTGTAATGCCATCTCCTGATGCGTTCAGTTTTGTGCTTTGCTTCGCAAGGTAAACAAGCTTATCAACTTTGAATTTGAAAGGCGAGCTTGTGTTATATGTTCGTCATTTAGCGGTGACTGTAAGACCTCTGCATCTTATACTATATCCTATCCCACTCTATTTCTTCCGCTCTATAAGATGGTGGTGTCCAATTTGTTCTATCTATGCGTGTCGGTCTTTTGCATCTCTACCATCATATTTTACCCTGCAATATCCCTGGTACCTTTCTTACCTTCCCCTGCTATCGGAGCCAGGAATGTGCGGGGTTAATAGTTCCACAGCATCATAATTTCTACATGTGCGTGTACACGAGAGTAAGAGGAATCCATTGGTACTAAAATCACTGTGATTGGTTATATCAAGGTAATGTGTAAAATTACTAAAAAGTTGGCTACTCATCTGCACTGTCTTCTCCAAGTTTCACTTCCCACAAAAAAAAAAAAAAAAAAAAAAAAAAAAAAAAAAAACAGATATTCCAAGCAGTGGCCAAACACCCTCACACACTCACGGGGAGAGAGTCCTAGACGCTTGCTGGATGGGGAAGGGACACGAGAAATGAGGGAAAACTGGGGAAATGTGAATATCTCTCTCAGAACACTCTCCTGATTCTGAGAAA